TCCTCCGATCCCATTGTCTCACATCCATCTCCTCCCAAAGGCTCAGGGGCGCCGCCTAGCTGGCTGTCAACTCATTTCTTGTTCGGCCTGCAGCAGCCACGACAATCTACCATCAACGCTGCACTTTACTGTGGCACCAACTACCTGCCTTGGTCTCGCTCAAGAGCCCAACGTCATCCTCTGTCGCAAGCCATCGCTAGTGCTTCGCCATCCTTGCCCGCAACGACGATTTCGACTTGCGACAATCGCCGAGGTATTCAATCGGAGAATCGACTCAATATCGCAATCGCATCGCCGATTCCGAGCGTTCCTGACCAGTCGCCAATCATTGCAAACCGTTGCATGCATCTCGAAACGCGGCGCGTGTCCTGACAACCTCGCCGCCCATCATGCCGCCTCCAAATCTCGCCCTCCGCCAGATCCCCTCCTCCCTACTCGACCAGCTTTCCCTCCCTCATCCTGCCGGCACCGGCCCCAGCGACTCGACCCCCATCCTCCCCCGCCAAAACTCTGACCCCGAAATCATCGTGCCCGCGACCTATGGCGGCACCAATAGCGGCCTCGAGCCCGCCGCCGTGGCCGGCATCACCCTCGGCGCCGTAGCCGGCTTTCTCCTTCTCGTCTACGTCCTGTACATGTGCGCCAATGGCGTCGGGCCCAGCGCAGACTACCGCTCCTCGACCTACGGCGCCTCCACGCTCTCCGTGCGCCGCCGCTCGCGCAGCCGCGCGCACCGCCATCAGAGCCGCGGTCCAAGTCGTGCGCGCGTCGTCGCCACCGAGAGAGTCAGGGTCAGAGAGAGCGGAGTGGGCGCGCCATTTGTGGTCGAGGCCGAACCCGTTCCCATGCGGGAGAGGACGCGATCGGTCAGCAGGGCGCCGCCTCCGCCGCGGGTCGTCGATGACGAGGATGACGAGGTTGTTGTCATTGAGGAGCACACGCCGCCGAGGAGGAGTCGCAGACACAGCCGGAGAGGGAGCGGAGCGTATGATGATCGGAGGAGAAGTCGGGACTACTAGGCTGCGCGCACGGCCCTGGCGAGTTGACTGGAGGTGAAGCAGCGATTTGGAGCGAATCTTTTGGTATATATGCGCAGTGTTCTGGGCGTCGATGTGCAATTCAGTGTCTATATGGGACGGACACGAGGTTTGGGTTATTTCATTGGGAGCGTCCAAGGGTTCAAGGGCGTATGTGAAGGATGGATTGTACGCATACATGATGTTGCAAGGGCTGCTGTGTGAATGCAGTTCGTATTTGATACCTCGAAATAGTTGGCTTCAGTTAGATCCCTCCTGTAGCTTATTGGAGCCTCTTCAATTGAATACAAGTAATGCAATTGGATACAAGTAATGCAAATTGGTACTCAAGAAACTCAGTGCTTTGCTGGTTCGACAGGCACTTCGGTCACCAGCAAGCTTGCATTGAGAACCGACTTTGGAAAGCGTCGGCCTTGGTACAGGTGGGGAAGCCGGAGACTTTTGGCCTCGCCTTTGGGATCTGTCCGGTCCTGCCCGCAGCTTACGCCGATCGCCAGACTCTACCCAGACGACTGCTCGGAGACTTACAACGGAATCATGACGGATAGCACGCCCCCTGAAGCTGCCATGGACTATGTATAGGCCCGTTTCGCATCGATGCTCTGGGTGGGATGCGGTGTATTTCCCATTGATCAATACCAAGATACTCTCAAGACTGCACTGCAGACAGTATTCGAGACCGGCCATCTCTACCCTCACAACGCCATCTTCGTCCTGTCCATGTTCAAATTGTCATCCAGCCCAGCATTGCACACTGTCACCCACTGATAACACAGCATCGAACCCCTGGTGCATGTTGGGGGTCATCTGTCTCGGAGTAATCACAAGACATTGTGCAACAAAAAGCTGCAGCCTAGGCTACCTCACCTATACGGCAGCCTGCCCCTCCCCGTCCTGACCACTGTCCAGACACGTACCTCTGCATCGTCCAACGCCCTCCCCCCGCTCAGCTCACAGGCTCAAGTGAATGACATGGCTGATCTCACTACCTACCGCGGCAATTGCCACTGCGGTGCATTCGTCTTTGAGGTCGACCTTCCCGTCCTCACCTCCGTCACCGAGTGCAACTGCAGCATCTGTCGCCGGAAGGGGTACATCGGGGACTTCCCTATCAGCCGCGACGTCTTCCGCATCGTCAAAGGCAACGAGGACGACCTCGCAGTGTACGAGTTCGGAGCCAAGAAGTACCAGCACAAGTTTTGCGCCACCTGCGGCACGGCCGTCATCATGAGCGTCAAGAGCGACGCCTCACTAAAAATTTTTTGAATGTACACCCCGCTTTTTTTTGAGTGGATACCTGGGTGCTGGAGAAGAAGCGGTGCGTGTCCGTTCTGCGGTGAGGGGGGTCCTCCGACAGAGAGGGATGCTGACGCAGACTTGCAGCTTTGATGGCGCGTCGAGTGATCCCAAGCCCGCGCCCCGGACGTACGACGGCCCGCCGCCGGAGATGGTAGACGGGGGGAAGCTGTACACAGGCAGTTGCCACTGTGGCGCCGTGCAGGTCGCGCTCGCGAGCAAGCCTCTCGATGAGAGCTTTCCCGACGGCATTGGCGAATGTAACTGCAGTATCTGCGAAAGGGTTAGAAACTTCCCCGAACCTTCCCTGTACTCCTAAAATGGGGCATCTCGAGGTGGGGGGCTTACATACGTTTCCAGAATGCGTACATCTGGGTGTGGCCGATGCGTGAACAAGTGGTTCTTTTCAGCGACGAGAAGAACATCTCGCGGTACGAGTTTGGCAAGAAAAATATGGGCAAAATGTTTTGCCGCATATGCAGCGTACACATGACCAACTTTGCCGCTGAAAAGTCGGAGGAAGAGCTCGCTGCCATGTCTGGCGAGGAGCGCGCGTACTTTGAAGGGGGCAAGGCGCGGCATCCCGTCAACCTGCGGGTGATCGACGGGTTGGATCTGGATGCTCTGCGAGGCAAGATCACGCGGATCAAGGGGGCCGAGGCGCCGCCAGCATATGTAAACCCTTAAGGTCAAGAAGAATGACACGAGGAGTTGATGCCAGGAAGCAGATGTACACCTTTTGCCTAGCAACATTCTTCCCAGAGCAAATGCCTGTTTTTGAATAATGATGATTTGCTCCTGGTGCTGCTTTGATGGGATCCCTGGCAGTTATGAGCAGCTTGGCCAAGTCAAAGTATCGAAGGGACACAGCAGTTGTGAGCCTCCAAATTTGTGCACTGGTTTGCTAGGCAGATATTCCAACACATGTTCGAATATGTTGAAGGGGACAGGTGCCTTAGCAGCGCCTGTCCTGCGACACCATTTGGATGCTTGCTGTTGTTTCTACTCGGAAGACGCGCCTTAGGAAGTGAGATGCCGTCTCTTGTAGCGAAGGTATGCACGTCTGGCCAACAATCTTGTGTCGATAATCAACCTTCGGTACCAGAGACACCTCTAGGCACCTGGCTTTCACAGCGGATTCCCATCATCGTCGAATCGGGCCCACTGAAAGAACGAGCACCCCTCCTTGCCGGGAACGTTGCCGCCATGGCACATCCAGAAGTACTTTCCGTGATTTTCCTTCTTTCTCTGTACCACACGAAGAATACATGGAATGCGACAGTCACACTTGGGTGTCGAGTTGGGATGCATGTTGGCCTTGTAGTCTCGGTATGTAATGTTGATGCGCCGGTTACCAGCGATGGGATGCGGATCGATGGACTGTGCCGGCGCAATGCTGTGCTTCCACTCCTCTTGCATCTCGGCGTGCATGACGAGGAGCGAGTTGTGCGGAAGATGAATCGCGACCTGGCCTTCTGCATCGGGGTCTTCCGAGACGTTGTCGGAATCTCTGGGAATAATCTTGCGCACCCTGAACTCCCGAGCCACGCCAAGAGATATGGAGCCAATGACGGCACGGGGGCCGAGGTAAGTGAGCTGGTCGCTGTGCCAGCCGACGTTTTGTTGGGGACCATTGTAGCAGTTGACGAAGGCTGAGTTGGGCACCCAAGGTTTGGGAGACTGATAGCGCAATTTCTTGCCGCCGGGATATCTTGTCCTGATTCTTGTTTGCATCTCGCGGTTCACAGCGTCCTGGACCTTGGGCTTGACGAGTGCAAGCTGGGGTGTGATGCGACGTACGTCGGTGAGTCTGGCGCCGTTGTAGAGAAACTCTGTCTTCTGCGCTCGCAGCTCGTCATAGCTTTCGACGTAGAAGCTAGAAGTGTGCGGACTCGCGACCACGTTGTCGAAAAGCTGAAAGGTGATCTTCTCGAAGGACTTGGATTCCTCGAGCAGCTCGGTAAGAAGACTATTCGCTTCATCGGGAGGCAGGAAGTTGTGAATGATGGTGCATGGTGTGTGCTCTGCAATGTCGTTTGGGTCATAAAGGTGCAGAGTAGCACCTTTTCTAGATATGAGCTTCTTCTTCGAAGGCTGGCCGCCATCGCCGTCGTGGGCGCCGACGGCGAAATGCTTCAGGGAGCTTTGAGCGCCCATGACGCCGCTGGCTTTCCTCTGGGCTTGTGGCACCTTTAATGCCACTGAGGCTTCCGTGACCGAACCGTTGTGGGCCAGAAGAAATTCTAGGAGCGTGTCCTGGTCAAGAGTTGGATGCAGCGACGACAGCAGTGCCAGTTTAAGATCTGTTGGTTCGTCATCATCGTCATGCCTAGGTGGCAAGTCGTGAGGAGGACTGAGTTTGCGCTTCTTTTTGACGATAAAGGCGTCCATGATGATTTAACAGAGAACGATCATGCTGCTGGTTGATTTCACCCTGAAAACAGATCGTCCGCTGATCGAGTCGCAAATGTCGTTCTCGTCTTGGAAAGGGCGTGGGTGCATCTATCAAGGCCCCGCTTTGGGTGTGTGAAGAAGCCCCACGCTCGCGAAGCAGTCACGAGAGCACGTGACGCGGGGTCTGCGACAGCCCCTCCAAACGGTACATCGCCTTGTCATATGCGCCGGCCAACCGAGGTCCCTCCGTCTGACCGTGACATCACGGCCGAATCCCCCTGCTGCCGTGCCCCGACGGCTTCTGACCCCAACCATCGACCCAATTCCCCCGGCGCGCCTTGGGCAAAGGCAGGCAGCTCTTTTCGAAAACCATGTCGATGCTGGAGTTTCGGACGCAAGGGTTCAATCCCTATGCTGTCAAGTATTCCCCTTACAACGATTCGCGCCTAGCTGTCGCAACGTCGGCAAATTATGGCATCGTCGGCAACGGGCGCGTCTTTGCGCTGGGGCTTACGGCACGGGGCATACAAGTTGAACGGACGTGAGAGACCCGGAAAGACGTTCTCCAGGGATGGCCACAGTCGACTGACGAGTTGCAACAGCTACGACACGAACGATGCCCAATACGACCTTGCCTGGTCTGAGATCAACGAGAACCAGCTGATCGTGGCCTGCGGTGATGGCTCAATAAAGCTCTTCGACGTCGGCGTCAAGGACTTTCCCGTCATGAACTTCCACGAACACAAGAGGGAAACATTCTCAGTGTCATGGAACCCCATCACCAAGGACACCTTTGTCTCGAGCTCATGGGACGGCTCCATCAAGCTGGTAAGCCCAGACGCCTGCTCGCGAGCTTGGTGCCCATGGACCCCCCCCCCCCCCCCCCCAGCAGCATCCGGCTGACACGTACAACGCTCGCATAACAGTGGTCGCCCACCCGTCAAGACTCGCTCCGCACCCTGCCCATCGGCTCGTGCACGTACAGCACGGCCTTCCAGCCCTCGAACCCCAGCATCATCTCGGCCGTGTCCTCCGACTCGCAGATCCGCATCTTCGACCTCCGAACGCCCGCCTCGGCGCGCTACCATCTCACCTCCGTCATACCCGTCCACACGAGCCCCACGCCGGGGCCGCCGCCGCCGGGCGTGCCCTCGGGCCAGCCCGCCGAGATCCTGACGCACGACTGGAACAAGTACCGCGACACGGTCATCGCGACGGCGGGCGTCGACCGCGTCATCCGCACCTTTGACATTCGCAGCCCCGACGCCGGCCCCGTCTCCGTCATGCCGGGCCACGAGTACGCCGTCCGCAGGCTGGCGTGGAGCCCGCACGCCGCCGACGTGCTGCTGAGCGCCAGCTACGACATGACGGTGCGGCTGTGGAACGACGGCTCGGCCCAGCCGCAGGCCATGGAGGGCCCGAGGATCGGGCGGCAGATTGGCATCATGAACAGGCATACCGAGTTTGCGACGGGCGTCGACTGGTGCCTGTTTGGGGCCGGGGGGTGGGTCGCTTCCGCGGGCTGGGATGAGAGGGTCTTGCTGTGGGACGCGAACATGCTGCTGTGAAAAGGGACATGACGGGACACGATGGATGAGGAGGAGACTCGTTGAGCGAGGTGCAGATTCGAGAGACGCCAACCATGCATGGGTCAGGCGTGGAGTTGAATTTTCGGGTGGTAGCTGGCTCAGCCGCCCCAAGTGCCACGGCCACCCCTATCTATACTTGCGAGTCCGCATGGAAAACCCATGTGAGAGGCTGAGAATCTAACTAACATGACTTGCCATACTTGGACCGATTTTAAATCAATAGAAGACAGGTCAAAAACGCATACCTGACCAGCGTTGGAACGATGTAGGTGACATCATGTCTGCTGAAGTTGGGATTCCAGAGCTCGCCTGTTCTAAAATTACAGATATGCTATACAGCCGTGACCATCACCAGTCCGCCTCCAAGTGAGTCTACGCAAGCTTTTTGTTTTCCTGCAGACCCCATTCCATATACCTGGACTTTTTCCGCACTGGTCCTTGCCGTGCGCCGTTGTACATGGATAATAAATACATATGACAGAAAGCTGGTGGTATCAATGCGGCCCTCTCTGGACCTCGTCTTACGCGTCCTGTGCAATCACCTTTTAGAACGAGGCACGCTCACGGCCGCCGCCGTAGCCTCCACGGTCACCGCCGCGACCGCCGCTACGGTCGCCGCCACGGCCACGTCCACCGAAACTGCCGCCGCCGCCGCGACCACCGAAGCCGCCGCCGCTACGGCCGCCGAAGCCGCCACTGCGGCTGCCGCGCCTGTCACCCTCGCTGCTCTCCAGCATGTTGGAGAAGGGGTCGCTGGAGTTGCGACCACCGTCACGGCCACCATCACGGCCGCCGAAGCCTCCGCGACCGCCGTCGCGACCACTGTCGCGACCGCCAAAGCCGCGACCGCCACCACGGGAATCGCGAGCAGAGCTGCCGTCGTTGACAAAGTCGTCGTCGTAGCCAATGTTGAGGCCCTCAACCCTGCGGAGACCGAGCTTGTCGGCCGTCTTGGGCGACATGGCAGGGGTGTTCTCCAGACCAATACCGTTGACGAACCACTCCTTGAGCTCCTCAACACGGTCACGCACGTTCTGGCGGGTGACGCGGGCGAAGAGAGACATGTAGGTCGCGGCGAGGCTGCTGCGAGGGACACGCTTCAGGGCGTCCATGGTGGTGTCGAAGACGGGGGTGCGGTCCTGGTCCTCCGTGGCAGCGGTGAGATCGACCTCGGCGGAGACAATGGTGCGGTTGGGCTCGATAGGCAAACCGCCGAGCTCGTGGCGGGCGGTCCCGATGTCGGTCTGGCTGATGATCAACCAGCCCTCGCCCTCCTTGCCCTGACGGGCGGTACGACCGATGCGGTGGATGTAGTGCTCGCGGTCGCTGGGGGGACCAGCCTGGATGACGTGGGTGACGTTGGGAAAGTCCATGCCACGTGCGGTGACATCAGAAGAGAACAAGATACCAGAGCTGAGCTCACGGAAACGGTCGGCTGCCCTGGTGCGGCCCTGCTGGGTGAGCTTGGAGTGGATGCGGAGGTTGAAGAGGCCAGTCGACTGGCGGAATCCAGCGTTGAAGGCATCGGCGGCGAGATCAACCATGGCGGTAGAGGGCAAGAAGACCATGGCCTTGAAGGGGGGGAGATCGGGGTTGGCGCGGCGGTTCGCAGACTCCTTCTCAATGACCTCGAACAAGGCAGGGAAGACGTTGCCCCAGCCGCGGCAAGGAACGAGGTGTTGCTTGACGCGCTCGTGGGTCAGGGCCTCACCCTGGCTCACAGTTTGGATGAAGTCAAAGTTGTCAGGGCGCACCCACTCACGAGCGAGCTGGACGACGTCCTTGGGGATGGTGGCAGAGAAGAGCAGGGTCTGGCGGGGCTTGTCGCGGACGTCGGGGAGCTTGTCGACAATTTCCTGCAGCTCCGTCTTGAAACCGACATCGAGCATGCGGTCGGCCTCGTCGAGGACAATGGCGGCCAGGTTCGGGGCGGCAATACCGCTGCGGGGATCCTCGAGAAGGTCGTTCAGGCGGCCGGGGGTGGCGACGAGGAGATGGCACCCCTCGCGCTTGCACCTCCGCAGCATCTCGGACTTTTGCGTGCCACCAACAGCCCTTTGCACGACGAGGCCGGTGCCCCGCGTCAGCTTTTCGGCCTCGACGGCAATCTGCTCGGCAAGCTCGCGCGTCGGGGAGAGAACAATGCCACGGATATCGTCAGAACGGGCATCGTATCGTGCGCTGCGGGTGGCGAGGGAGGGATCTTCTTGCAGCATCCTCTGCAAGACGGGGATGAGGAAGCCGAGCGTCTTGCCGGTACCAGTTCTCGCTTGCGCAACGCTTTTGAGGCACGGTTAGCATTCTGCAAAGGCCAGAAAAACATTCTGCAAAGGCCAGAAAAAAGGGGGTGGGAAGGAGGAGGAAGAGGAGCGAATGCTTACAGATCGGTGCCCTTCAACGCCGGGGTGATGGTCTGGGTCTGCACGTCAGACATGCTCTCGTAGCCCATACCGTGGGTAATGTTCTTGACGAGATTGGGGTGGACGCCGAGAGACGGGAGGTCATCGAAGCGGGTGGGCTTGTCGTTGGCGTCGGGGGACTGTTCAGGCTCAGCCGCAGCCTCGGCCTCAGCGGAGTACCATCGGGCGATGGGGGAGTTGAGATGTATGGTGGTCCGGAGTAGTGATATCCTCGAGGTGCGCTCGATGGACTGAAGGAGTGAAGGTTGCTGGCGGGTGGCCAAAGAAGACGCGATGGACGCGCCGCGCAGCTGGACGCAGCGGCGGAGACCTTGCCTCAGCATGTCTGCAAAAGGGGCGTGGAAGATATTAAACAAGATACTGAGCGGACAACAAAGGGTTGAGCAAGGGAGAGAATGAAGATGGATAGAGATCGAAATAGCCGGTCTTGTCTGTGGCTATGATGGGTGATGGTGGTTGGAGAAAGTGGTCGTTCGTGGAAGGGGCGATTCTGCTTCGCACTTGCAGCGCAAGAGAAGCGAGTCGCCAGTCGCCAGTCGCCAATCGCCAGAAAAAATCGTTATCGGGCGGTATCAGCGTATCAGAGACGTCAGGAAATTCGACCGTCCCACCTGTCAATGACCGTGAGCCAATCACAGCAAAGACCCCTACTTGTGCAAAGGCCTTGTCATCGCCATCGAACATTCAGCATAAGGATCAACTCATGTCTCTCAATCATGGCAGACTTGACGTGTATGCCTCTTCATCTCTTCAGACGAGTACCATCACTGCATGGCTATGGCTGGATGATTGAGCGAAGCGTTGGGCAACCTGTACCTTCTTGACACTCTCCACACTGCTCACAACCGCTGGTCTGCAACTTGATGAAATGACTAGTAAAACGGCAGCGGCACCACTGGCTTGTGCTGACTGTAAGAGACTGGATCACTGCAACGGGGGAGGAAAGTCATCAAGCAGCCTTGCGGATTTTGTGGGTGTTGCTCGCAACTCATAATCCTCCTTGGGGGAACTTGTTCTCATCAAAGGCCGCATGGCCCAATGGCAAGGCGTCTGACTACGAATCAGGAGATTGCAGGTTCGAGCCCTGCTGTGGTCACTTTACCTTTTGCGTGCACTCGCAGTGACAACAGCACTGAACCGAGTCATTTTTACAGGGCTGTGACCACTGTAAGTTGACCTGTATTTTCTTTTGGCGAGGATCTGCACTTGAAACACAGATCCAGTTCTCAATAATCCAGTTCTCAATAATAGGTAATCATAATAATCCTGGTTGAACTAAAGATGAGTACAGAAAAACCCACGGCTTAAGTCACTCGGTGCCAAATACATTTGGCGCCCAATGATCGAGACGATCAGGGCCTTCCTGAGTGAATCAAGGCAACCCCCCGCAAGGCAAAATCACCGCTGGAGGCATCTGCCTTGTACGATCACCTCAGCTTGGTATGTGACACCATGTTGAGAGGCTCAGATCCGGCCCTTGGACACCAAACAGCGCCTCGGCAGAATCAACCAACTCCACAGCCCTGATCACAACCGGATGCTGATTGTCGTCATCCCCTTCCGTCCCGACCGTTTCGCGCCCTCACTGGACCGCTACTCGTTCCGCCGAATCGAACCACCCCCACCCCCATCATCACCACAAACCACCCACCAAGAAATCTCATCGCTGCACCACGCCGCCGGGGAACGTCTACCGTAACGTTCCTAGGTACCAAGGCAAGGTAGGTACGCACAGCCCCCCTCAGCTCTGTAACAGGGCCACCCCGCCCGCGGACCCAGAACCGCCCACCCGGAAGAAGCACTAGAAGCCTCGCCCCCCGGCTCGCGATCTTGCACACGTGGAGCCCGGGTCCTTCCCCCCTAATCAACTGTGGGAAAGCAGGTCATCCGGAGGGAAGGGAGTCAGGGAGCCAGAACACGACCTCGCTCTTCGTCTCCGCCCCGCCGCCTGGGGGGGAGGGGGGAAGGGGGAAGGGGGAAGCTATCTCCCCTGCCTGGTGTGCGTCTTCATCTCCACCTCGGCGCGCTCTCCACCCTTTCTCTTTGTTCTCTGTCTTTCCCTGCACGTACCTAAAAGCCCACCACCCCCGGCGGCCTATGGGGGACAAGGGGCCTGGCTCTGGTCTTGGGCGTGGGTTTCTAGGGGAGAGAAAAGGGGGGGAGGGCATCTGCCAGCGGATCAAGCTCCCCGGGCGCGTCCAAGCCAGCCTAACAACACCCCTGGGCCGCGCCGTCGAGTCAAGCCCTCCCAGGGAGGGGGCCACGGTTGGGCTGCCAGGGAGGTCAGACGGTCGCCAGCAGCGGGATCGTGTACAGCCGGGGCGACCTGGGCGAGGGGGGCCTCCGGCCGGAAGGAGAAGTTAGTGGCCAAGTGGTCAAGTGACTCACTGTTGTACAGTAGAGCGAGAGAGAGAAAGGGAGGGAAAAATTATACCAAGCGGCTGTCCAACCGGAGCTTCCCTTGAATCATCGTCCTCTCTCTCTCTCTCACACACAGCGCACACCGCTATTCTTTCATTTCTCCCATGCCGGGCCGTGAGGGTGCCCATTCGCCCGGACTTGGCGGGGACGACGAGGCGGGACGTCACGAGAAGGACGAAAACGAGGCAAATGAGGCCAGGGTTGGATGAACAAGGAAAAGAGAGAGAGAGAGAGAGAGAGGAACACATATGGCCCCAAGTCCACTGCTGCACGACAAGACAGCATCAGAATGGCACGGCATGGAAGGCAGCAGTGAGAGCGAACAAAACCCACACGCGGAAAGCGTCATCATTCGTAGAGGCTGGGTCCACGCGGCAGTGGCGCTCACCAGTCGCCCGAGGGGGGAGATGCCTCTATTGCTACAGCGCAGCATGACGGGGACACCGGCTGCTACCACACCGCGCGTAAGAAACCGGTGTGGCGACCGGTGTGTCGCTCGCCCGGACTTCATTGCCCCCCTGCAACTGCAACGGGGGCGGGTGGGCGTTGGTGCCCATCGAGAACAACAGGAGAAGAAGCCAAGCGAGGGCGAGAGGAGGACGCCGCGTCAAGGACCGCTGTAGGAAGTACAGGTACGAGAAAGCATATCGTCCGTATTTTGAGCCTGTCCCATGCTTTCTCTGCATGCGTGCCGAACCTTTCATCATGAGGCAAGGCTGCCGGGCGGCTGCAGCATGCGGTGACCCCCTCCCCTGCCTCGCCTAACCTCGCCTTGTCCACAACGGATGCGTGCGTGCGTGGGGAGCAAGGCAAGGCCAGCGCACCGCCCGTCCCGATCCCCCAAGGTAACATCAGCTCCAGCTGCCTGGTCGCCCATCTCCGGCCGCGATGTTTCAAGGTACAGTACGGCGACGGAGCCCACAGCGAAGTGGCAACCCTGGCAGGAATGTACTATGTACTACTGTACGGGTTGGTGCAGCCGGGGGCCCAGGCGGACCCTGCCTGCTCGTCCCGCCGCAGTACCGGTTACGTGGTGGCTGCCACGCGGACAACCGCTCCCTCGGGTTGCTCAAGTCAGATTGTGCCACATCACCATGGTGCCCGTAGGGGTTGAGGTTGGGGTTGAGGTTGAGGTTGAGGTTCCGGTCGAGGCGGCGGATAGATGGCAATCTCCGTTTCATCTTGCCCTGTTCGTCTTCTGCCACATTGGAGCATCATGGGCGATGGGAGCCAATGGAGGGAGCACCCTTGGAAAAAAGACGCTGAAATGGCAAACCAAGCACGCGCGCAAATTCCGTGTATAATGTGCAGAACAAAATCTGTGTCTCGTGACAAAGTTAAACGTAAAACATCCCTTTGAATATCTGCTCTGCGACATGAGACGCAAAGCGGCTCTATAACTCCTCAGTAGTCCAACCAAACCCAATCCCAGGATTGCGTTCGCTGATCCCATGCATGCCATGCTCGCTGTTTTCCGCCTGCCTACGAACGCACATTCTCCTCTTCTCCTCCTGGTGGTATCTTCCCTTCCCAAATCAAGACAAGAATTACAAAAATCATAGTCAGGCGCCTGACAAACCAGGCCGCGCCTCCTGTCCTGACTGACCGACCCCGATGCCGGCTTCCGGGCCCCCCTTGTGCCTCTTTCGCCCTCGTTCGCCGTGATCCCCGCCCGCCCCTGTAAACGAACGCTGTGTCTATGGTGCCCTTGAAGATCATGGTATCCGCCTGCTGAGCAAACGCCTGTGGTGCAACGCCGAAATGGTTGTAATAAAATAATAAACGAAAAGAAAAAAAATCATGTCGTCTCAGAGCCTGAGAATCATTCGGCAATTGCTCCGGCAATGTCTTCATCGTCTGTCGTGGTTGTCTTGCTCCTGTTCGGCCTCGTCAAAGTCAACCAGAAGTCCCTCGCGCTCTGTCGGTTCGATGGCCGTCTCAACGTCCTCCATGGGCTCGTCCAGCCGGCTGGGGCCCTCCTTGATCTGAAGACTTATGAAAGCGCCAATGATGGTGATGGCGGCACTGGTCCACCAAGCGAGGCCCGAGTAGCCAGTCTCAAGGCCGATGGAGTACAGGAAACCCGAGATTGTGGGTCCGAAAGCTCGGCACAAGCTGGCAGTCGAGGCTGCCACACCGTTGATGGTCCCCAGAGTCGTCAGGTTGGGCGCCGAATTGGTGAGGAGGATGGCGTTGGCAGGATAAGCCATAGTCGAGAAGGTGCACTTCCAGATGACCATGAAGTAAATGCCCACCATGCGGTAGTTCTCGGGAAGCAGGACGAGATAGGGCGTTGTCAGGTAAAGGGCAAAATAAGACAGTGCCATGAAGCGGAAAAGTCGCAGGGCGCCCAGCCTCCTGGTGACTATTGGGAACAAGAAGACGGTCGAAATCATCGAATAGACGCCTTGTACAGAGAGAATGACACCGATCTCTTTCGTCTCCATCCCGAAACCGTCGACAAACTTGAAAGGGAGGTGGAATTCTTTCTCGACAGGCGACTTGGTGCTGAGGAATACCGGGAAAAGCTGGTCGAAGGTCATCGTGTGGCTAAGGGGATTTGTTAGTTCTGTGACCCAAAATGTGATAAGTGGTGGCTCTTACAAAGCAAGAATGCCGTACGAGATGATGTTCAGGACCACAGCCTTCGTGAAAATCTTGGACTTCATCTCACTTCCTGCGTCGCTAGCACCGCACGAAGATGCATTGAGATCCAGGCTGTCGTTGAGCTCCGGCGCAGAGGTTGTGCTCAGCTGGGGCGAGTTCTCCGAGGTGCGATAGCCCGGTAGTTGTTCTTCTTCGAGCAACGCCTGCTTCTCAGCTTTTCTTGCTGTAAGCTGGCAGTTGTTGGATGACATCCAAGAAGTGAAGCGCTTTCCCAGCTCAACCCCAGCATCCCGACGATGCTTCCTTTCAGGGTGAGTCTCTTCCAGAAACAGCAGGCCGATGATGACACCGCAGCAGACAGCAGCAGCACTAAACAAGTTGGGCAGAAGATAAGGATATCTCTCCCAAATTGTGCCGGGGAGGAAGACATTGGGGTAGCTGATGCACGGTCGGGCAAGTGCTCCTCCGATCATGGGCCCGATGATGGAGCCCAGACACCAAACCAATGGCATGATCGTGTATGCTCGCGCTGGCCAGGTTAGTCTTCGGGAGTGCTCCTGCAGGATCGCGGCTACTCACGCTGGTGCTCTTTTACAGTCACGAGCTCGGCAACAGTAGTCTGTAAGACACCAATGTTCCTAATATTCTGTAAGCATGCTGCGTGCCAACGTCGAGCAGACAGTGCGTACCCGTTCAATAATCCACCTAGCGCTCTGGCAAAGAGAGCAACAGGGAGGTTGGGCGCAAAGCCAAAAAGCAAGACGCTCAGTGCCGTGCCTGCAAGGCCGGTTAGGAGCACAGGCTTCCTGCCGATCTTGTCGCTGAGTCGTCCCCACATGAGTCCTGTTGAGAATTCGGCTAAGGTGAAAGCCGAGGTGACCATGCCAGCGTATACGGAGATCTTGTTTTTGTCGTCGGTCATGTTGAAGTCCTCGATCATGTAGATGTAGGGGAAGATGGACATAAACGCAATCGGTTCGCATATTCTGCAGAGCGCTGTTGGGTGCCTGTCAGTCCCAGATTTTGTACTTCACCAGATGGCTCCTAAACTCACCCAGAACAAACATCTGCCGCACCGGAAACGGAGGCAGATTCTTCTTATCCATTTCGCGATCTGCCGAATCCTTGCTGCCTCCAAGAGTCATGTATCCCTTTCTTCTCATCGTGTCGGTTGTGTTCGTGTGCAGGCCACAGTCGGCAACCTTGGTCTGAGCAATAGCGATGAACAGAACGGCAGTCGAGTCGAATTAATGTTGCTTGCTGGTCGAAAGCGTCTCCAGTGTTCGGGGGAGGGTGGTGCGGAGCGGACGGGGTGCCAGATATATAGATGGGTGTCAAGAGCTTCGCTGTCAAGGTGGGTGAGGAGCCTGGTCACACAAGACAAGACGGAAATCGAGCCAAGAGTCAGGGGAGAGTAGTGATGAACAGTGATGTCAATGGTGGAAAAGCAACGGCAGGATGGGGGAAAAGCAAGTGAGACTAAGTCCGCTGAGATGATGTGGCGGGTCATCTTATGAAGTATAAATCGAAACCCCAAAGGCGATGGGCAAGCCAGAGCGCAATTAAGGGGAAAGTGGGCATCCGACGTCAAGGCCCAGGAATTACACCCTGGACCTGGTGGACTGGAACAGGTCATCGGGACCAGCCCGCCCTCGGACGCGAATGGAGGCTAAGATTGGAACGGCGGTGACCAGACCAGACAAGACCAGGCCAAACGATGAAGACGATCCTCCCACAGGAGATGCGGCGAAAGGCAAAGAAGGGGTTCCTAGTCTAGTCCAGCTCCCCGGTTCGACAGACGTGGGACCTGGCATGACCCTGGTCCGGCGTCCGCCCCAGGACTTCGTTCCAAGTGGGCTCCCTGGCGAGTGGGGTGAAGTACCCCTGACCCTGGTCACGCCCGTTTTCCGCCATGGTAACAAGTTTCCAAGCCTTCCCCCTTACGGAGGGGGGGGGGGGGGGTGTGTGTGTGTGACACGGATAGGAGATGGACGCACACTGGCGGATGGTGGTAGTGGCCATCATCGTCATGTTTGTTTGCTCCAAGACGTGTTAACGAGATGCGGCTTGCGGACAGGGAGAAAGAAGGCGTCGGGCGTGAGGCGGAGACTGGGCCGCTGGTTGCACTGCGTCGTCGCGTCGGCGCAATCCGTCGGCGACGAGGTAAGGGGGTGGAGGAGGTTGGGCTTTGCAACAACAAACGGGGATGGATTGAACCAAGGCCAAGCCGTGCCCCTCGCTGGACTGAACAGCTTGGGGGTGGGCGATCTTAGGGTTGGGTGAAAACGAAAGAAAGAAAAAGTAACCCTGTTCGGACAGAGACCAACGCCCATTTAGCCCCTGTAAATCGCCCCCTGTAGTCGATACATGGTACATAGGCGGCAAGTAACCTCGTCCGCAAGGCTACCCCCCCGGCACTTGATCTTCTGCTGCATCCTGTTGCGACATGGGGGTTGACATTGGATTGTTGAATGAACGTGACAACCGTCAGACAGGGGTGCCCAAGTACAAAAAGCATGGAGCTGAAACAGGGAAGGCCCTGTATGCGGTTGGCAGACCGCCCCTTAGCAGAACGATCCAGTTGCTGGTCCCTGGTGCCCGATCAATTTTGCGGTGTGCAAAGCCGACAGTGTTGTTGCTCACTTTGTCTGTCCCCATACTGGAGCTGTGTTGTCAGCGTATATCGCACCCCTCTGTTAAGATTTGGATATCATCAACCAGTCTGATACAAGCGCTTGAGCTCCGCTGATGAGTTGTATGCTCCCGTAAAACCCGGGCGATTGATCATGGATGAACACGTCGGCCCGTTGTGTCATCTGAGAAGCGGTGAATGGCTCCCAGGGCCCCGCGGAACACCGCCCGACGGGTAAACACAGTCTTTGTGACGACGCAACTTGCCGTGACCCACGATACACGATTCGGCTTCTGCTTCTGGTGACACGCACATCGTTGGGCGAGGCTCGGAAGACCTGGTTGCTATCTGCTAGACCCCCTGCACCTGCTCGTCAGGTCAGCACATGCATTGTAGTGTCATTAGTCACACTCTCCGTGGATGGAGAACAAAACGACGACGAGGTTGCCGTCTTGCCTGTGAGGATGTACATATGACTGGTCGTGACCCAGATCCGAAGGATTTCTCGACATATTGTGCATCGCAGCGCTGTTCGGAACTGTCACCACCCCGCTACCCTCATCTGTCAGTTGAGGCGGGGAGGAGGGGGGGGGGGTTGTCCTCGTCACTCTCGGTGCGGCGATCGGGATTGTGACAGGGCGAGTACTACCATGTATGTGCAATCCACCCGGGGGACGGTGCTAATTTCCGGTTCAAGTCCTCTGAACGAAAGCTCCGAACGGAAACCAGCCAGGCTGCGTAGCGCTGACGTTCGATCGGCATCGAGTATACGCTGCATTCAGTCATCGTCGAAACTTTGCTTTTTCTGTTGTTCCAGCCAGCGTTGCTAATTTCTTGTTGATTGCGAACACACGTCCTTCATTGAGCGGCGCAAAACTTTGCGGGCCACAGCACATGCGAAGTACTTCGTCGGAGTAGACTCGGTCGGTCCGTCGTCCGGTTTTGAGGAGCTCATCGGCCGTTTCGATGGCGAATCACTTTTTGACGATGTTTCCCCAACATGGCCCAGTACGCGTATGGTGATACCACTCGACACCATGCTCCCGAACAATGTGTAGGCCACGACACCCGTCATACCGCCCGCAAGCTCAGAGCTTTGAGTCGGGGCGGTTGATACATCACAATGTCACTATTGTCTGGTCCCTGCTTCCGACGACCATGTGGCAACGTTGTGATCTGTGCTTGAGCCTGCATGTCGAAATGCTGCACAAGGCAAGCTCCGCACATCAAATCAAAAGGCTTTCGTCCATACCCCCCATCTTCACCGGTGTGGTTCGCCAGACTCCGCCGAAAATACGATGTGTTTTCTTTTGCCATACTGTCTTCGATTCCGAAGAGACAAAGTCTGACAGATGTGTGCTTGAGTCTTCTTGACGATGGCGCACGTAACCTCTCAGCTCGACCGGCCTAACCGGCCTACCGGGACTCATCCGCGCCTCCTTCTTCTTCGGTCGCAAAAGGAAGTAGCGGTGATCGATCCCGCATGAGGGAAATTGGCTTTCGTTTTCCTGGGGAGCTGGGTTCAGGGATTCTCAGCCTTGGTCCCGAGAAAAGTTTGGCAAGGCGCCCCGTGCAAACCACTTGGTTGGGTCCATCTGGCGACTGCCGGAAGAGTTGCCGAGCCCTCAGGTCCTGGGTTCTTCCGCCCCCAAATCCATGTGGTACCGAACAAGTACTTCACGTGGCAGGAGAATTTTCGGCGTGCCCTAGACAAATCTTCTACGACTGTTCGTCAATCGATGCATCCCGAGGAAGAAATACGACTGCCGTTTCCGAATTACTGCGCGCCTCGTGCCACTGGTGGGGCTCAAGCTGTTTGCTAAATGGATGCATTTCAGTTGCTTCATGGGTATCTTCAGCGGGCATGTGCCATCGACAGGAGCGGACGCACGTCGGTATGTCATGCAGGTGTCGTTTCGTCAGCTAAATCGGGGCACTTAAGGCGTGTCTTCATTAGCCTGTGCCCTATGCAGTGCAGAATGGACCATGCGTCCATATAGGGCGCACGACGGGCGCCTGGTCTAGTGCCTCCCATTACCTCTAGATCGTTGAAAGAGCTGATGCTACGGCATGCTACATGCGGAGAGGAGGAAACAAGTCTTGCTTGTGGTTCTCTTGTCAAGCAGGGCTGAGTAAGACTGGCCCAGTCTTCGTTGGCCTATGCGCGTTGTTGCTTATGCGAACTGGGGTATGATACGGTTTTCCTTTGCCCGAGACATTAGTACTCCTTGGACGGACATGCAACGAAAACGATGATTATGTGCCGGCATCCATAGAAAGTTGGGGTAAAAGCAATATGATAAGCGTCCCAAACTCGAAACGACTGCCACGGAAACATTGGAGATTGGCGAACAGGCTTCGAATTGTTGTGTACATGTATCTCCAGAGCTGGGCAGCAAGCAAGGTTAAGTCCTGTCGGGTCGACATGGAAAGTGTAGCGACGGCGGGGTGACTCCAGTCTACTTCGTCGCGT